GAGACGTGAGTTTTCACACCGAAAAATGGGGGAGGAAATATGTGACCTCAAACACGGAGGTTTGGGATGATGTGTCGCCATAAGACCATAGAAATGTCAAAGTCTACAAGGTTAGTTGGCTGACTCTCTAACGGACTTCTTGCAGACACGCTAGCAGTTTGTTGTTGTTTGTTTTCAATATCTACATATATGTTCTTTCTGGACCATGCTTCAGAAACATTCTCCTGTGACTAGCTCATTGAACAATTCCTGCTGAACCTATCTTCACAAACTCTCGATTGTTGCTAAGGGAAGCTAATGGTCTGCTAGAAGTTACAAATTATTAAGCTCAAAGTCACAGGTTATATTCTTAGGAAAACAGAACAAGCCAGTTTAATTAAAGTTGAAGTTCCACTTTTACTAGAATCACCTGCCTCAGTTGTGACAAGCACCTCAAATTTCAAATGGCCCTTCACGAAGAATGCACATTTCTATATCTCAACCTAGCAGCAAGTGCATAACCTGTACTTTTCCTTGGAATCCACTGAAAATCTCAAACATTGAACAAAACCATAATTGAGAATGATTTAACTCATGGCTGACTTACTGGGACTTCCCAGTAACTTCATAGGATGTCCCATACTTCCCAGTGAAGTATGAAGCACACAGTCAAGTATCCGGGGTTCTGAGTTCAAATGCAGATCTGCCTCTGCTATAGTATATAATTGCACAATTCTCTTAATATCTGGCTTTATCAGAGTAGAACAAGAAGCTCTGCCTCACCTAACCAATTCGCTGCCACTGAGCCCATACCAACTCATACGATCCTATAGAAGAGTGGTTCTCAACCTTCCTAATGCTGTGACCCATTCATACGGTTCCTCATGTTGTGGTGACCCCCAACCATAAAATTATTTTCCTTGCTACTTAATAACTGTAATTTTGCTACTGTTAGCAATCATAATGTAAATATCTGATATGCAGGATATATTTTCATTGCTCCAGATTAAATATAATTCAAGCATAGTGATTAATCACAAAACAATATGTAATTATATATTGTGAAATATTTATTTCTAATAACAAATAAATGAAATTTTTTCTTGGAGCATGGTGCAGTATGGGAAGCAGTCTTCACGCGAGGTACTTGTATGTGGGCATATCTGCCTGGAGACAGATAGAGGAGCGGTGTCTCAGTTCCTAAGACCATCGAAAATATTAGTTTTCCAATGGTCTTAGGTGACCCCTTTGAAAGGGTCATTTGACACCCCCAAAAGGCTCTCACCCTACAGGTTGAGAACCCTTTCTATAGGGCAAGGTAGAACTGACCTTATGAGTTTCTGAAATTGTAACAGTTAACAGAATAGAAACTCATTTCTTTTTCTCTCCCACAGAGCAAGCTACTGGTTTTGAATTGCTAACCTAAAAGCATCAGAGCCCAATGCATAAACAATAGAGCAGCAGGGCTTCTTTACTTAAGCAAATCAATAACTGTCTAAACAAGAAAGCAGTGAGTACCCCTGAGGGTCCTTTCAATAGATTCATGTACTTGGACAAGAATTTATTAAGTTTTCATGGGGTAATTCTTGAGCTATATTGTTTCACCTATAAAATGAAGATGCAAAAGTTTTATGAGCATTGAGAATAACACATTTTTAAAATCTGAAGGATTGTGATTAGACAAATAGCAATTACAGAAGTATCAAAGAGATTAATATATACCTTGAGAAATTGTGATCATTAGCTGGCATTTCAACCAGCTTCATGTGCCAGATTTCCAACACCACATAGTCTAAGGGTACCTCTGAGCCTCTGGGATTATGCCACAAAAATTGAGGGGCACATACAAAGGACAGTACAAAGGTTCAGAGAAAGACTCTCTAGAGTACAGAATGCACAAAACCATGTGAGAAAACCAGAGCAGGTAAACCAAGGAAACACAGAGCCTCAGGACTCAGAAATTGTCTGTTTCTTGTTTTGCACCATACCCTACATATGAGTTTATTTTGAATAATCCTATATCTATTACCCAGATAAATTGATGCAATGAAAAAGTTTCTTTTTTAAAGTAAGACTGCTAAAATATGGGCCCCATTTCTTTCATGCTGTACCATTCAATGTGAAACATTAAAACGATATGAAAATCTAAGGGAAAACAGATCATGACTAGGTTTATTTGGAATCTTGAAGAAACTCTTTCTAGGATCCATTGGGTCTGGTTGAGAACAACATCTGGTTATTACCAAAGGTTATTTGTTAAAAGGGATTCATTCTTAACACAGATTTACTCTTGACAACGATACTCTTCTTGCCTAGGCTTTCCTGTATAGTAAGGACTTCCTTTCAAAATAGGTCAACTGAGATTCAAAGGTAAATAGATGTTGACTAAGAACCTTGGTGGAATTCAAATAATTTAAAAACCAGTTTGCTGCCCTCATGACTGTTTTAAGTACAATAAAAGATACACTGAAAGGTCGGTTATTATTTCAACATGATAACAGAGCACTGCTGTTGCAAAGATGAACATTAAAAAAGAGTACAGAGTGTAAAATTGTGATTTCCACATTGGGCAGATGCCCAAACCACCCACCTTAGAGAGAACCATTATTACAAGTGCCATTTTAACAACTGGTTAGCCAAACTCAACAAAATAATTAGGGATCGGTTCTGTCAAACTGATGCAAACCAGCTGAGTCCCACTGCTGGTAAAAAACCAAGTGATCTATTGTACCAGTAACTCTGAGGTGGATGGTGAACTCCTAAGTATTCACACAGAAAGATCATCCCATGAATAGGTGGATGTTCACAGTGTCATTCTCTGGCCAGTCGAGTAACCTGTAGTCTGAGAAATGGATGTAATGATGCTTTCTATGGTCATCTCATCAAAATGATATCCAGTGGGCTGCCCACACATATCATGACATTTTAAGATACAGTGTGTCAGCTTACAATACAGTCCATTGCCACTGATGCTATTTCTTTGCTTATTCCATCAGCAATTATTTCTTGAGCTCCTGCTCTATGCTAAGCAAAGAGGTGTTAAGAAGGATGTATTTATTCAGGATGACGTCATGGAAACTTGCTATCAAGGACAAAAGTTGAAGAACTATTGGTTACATGCCATTTTCTGTCAGAGTCCAACTCCAGGAGGGTTGAACTAAATACCTATAGGAGGTGTGGAGTCAGCAAATACAGATGAGACAGACACGAGAGACGTTCTGGTGGAAGCAATCTCTGCTGAGTTCTTCCAAACAGCTTTATTTATACCATAAAAAGTTTTGCAGACCACTACATAAAAACAATGTCTTATGATTAACTCCAAAGTCACCCTTATTGTTTCCACTAAAACCTGGTAAAAGACCATTATAAGGTCTGTAATTTTTTCTATCCCTTTCTGTCCTCTTCCTGGTTCTTTCTTTCTGTACTGCTTGTCTTATACGTCACATACTATTCTTGATTGAGGTGTTCAGAAAGTTTGGTTAGACTCATCCTACTCACTGCCCTATTTTTTGCTGACAATGTTCCTTTTCTCGTTGACTAACTTAACACAATGAAACTACCTCATGTTCTACTTCAAAGCCTAATATCTACAAGCAGAGTTAAATGCTTCTCAGAGCTGTTTTCCTTTACAAACTCTCCCATTGTAACTGTTCCATTGTCTACCTATGTCTTTTATTTTTTATACTCCTGAGGCGCCATGGGGAGCCAAACCATCTGGTTCTTTGCCAAAGACTTAATGTTTCCCCTTTTACATGTTTTCTATTAGCGTTAACCATGCTCTCTCCTTCTATGTAAGCCCCTGTCCAAGGTAAAGGGCTGTCAGTTGGGGGAGGCAGTCTATAAGGTCCTCTACATCATGGAGGCGAAAAGAGTCTCCCACTACCTAATCTGAATGGAATCCAGGGTTTTATGGTGGGTTTCATTTTCTCCTCTGACCTCAGTTTTGGGGTTTCTTCCTGATTCAATTCCCACATATCCTTCTCAGAATTCCCAAAGATGTCTCTCTCTCTAAGCCTCTCCAATGCCTCAGTTAAGGAAAGCCCCGTCATATTGAAGCAAGTTTTACATCTGGTTTTATTTGTACTTCTCAAGACTGTCCTCGCATCTACCCCAGGTGTGGTAACCATAACAATGCACAAAATTCTCAAGAATGGATTTAACAACAGCAAATATTTAAGGGATGTTGGAAACCCTCACCGGGAAGCTCTGCTCTGCAGAAGCTTCTTCCACCACGCTGTAGCTTTGCTAGACAGCATGGCTGGGATGGCTCCCAACAAATTTCATCTTGTAGCAAGTTTCTAAAATAATCTTATATTGAAATATAGCCTACACTCATGCATTTAAGGATTACCTATAGATGCTTTTGCACCACAATGGCTCAGCTCACTAATTGAAACAGATTCTATAACCCATGTATTTAATATTAATGACATTACTATCTTCAAAAACATTTTTCTGAATACCAATCTCAAACGAGTCATGTACTAAAATAATAAATATAAACAGAGTTGTACAAATTGGTTACTCAGTAATCTTCTAACCCTTAGGGTAACAGTTTTAGAGTAAAAATTAAGTCAATATTATTGAATGTATTGTAATGGGGCCTTAAGCTAGAATATATTTCAAACCTGCACAAGTGGCTTAAAAGGAATAATGAAAAGATGGAACAATGGGATAGATTGAACGAACAAGTCATAACTTCAAAAAAAATGGAAAGGGAAAATTATACTACATTATTTCTCAAAATAGTTTACAGTTAGAATCTACATTAAAGAAAACTATCAATTCTCAAAAAATTAATACTTTTATAACTTCTATACTCTAATTCAATATTTGAATGATATAAAAATATAGAATATTGAATAGTATACATTTTATTGCAAACTTTTACTTGTTAAAACACATGAACTTATTCCAGTGTGCCTTTAAATTCAATTTCCATGTTACTCAATGTCCTATCCAACAGACTTCTAAATAACATTAATATTATGCCGATTATTTTCACTTGCAGACAAATTGTCCATCCAATGATGCTCTCTTTGAGAAACAGCTCTTCTCATCCTGTGTCCTTCCTTTTGCTGGGAATCCCAGGACTTGAGAACTCCCATTTCTGGATTGCCTTTCCATTCTGTGTCATGTATGCCGTGGCTGTAGTTGGCAATATCATTGTCCTTCATGTCATCCGAACTGATCACACCCTGCACCAACCTATGTACCTCTTTCTGGCCATGCTGGCTATTACTGACCTGGTCCTCTCCTCCTCCACACAGCCTAAAATGCTGGCCATACTCTGGTTTCATGCTCATGAGATTGAATACCATGCCTGCCTCATTCAGGTCTTCTTCATCCATGCATTTTCTTCTGTGGAGTCTGGGGTGCTCATGGCTATGGCCTTGGACCGCTATGTGGCTATCTGCTTCCCACTCCGACACTCTACTATCCTGACGCCATCTGTCGTGGGGAGACTGGGGGCAGCTGTGATGATAAGAGGGGTGTTGTGGGTCAGTCCCTTCTGCATCATGATCTCCAGGATGCCCTTCTGTTTCAACAGAGTCATCCCCCAGTCCTACTGTGAGCACATGGCTGTGCTGAAGTTGGTATGTGCTGACACTACAGTAAATCGGGGATATGGACTCTTTGTGGCCTTCTCTGTGGCTGGTTTTGATATGATTGTCATAAGTATATCCTATGTCATGATTTTGAGAGCTGTGCTGCGGTTACCCTCAGGTGAAGCCCGACTTAAGGCTTTTGGCACATGTGCCTCTCATATTTGTGTTATCTTGGCACTTTATATTCCAGCCCTCTTCTCTTTCCTCACCCATCGCTTCGGGCACCACGTGCCCCGAGTGGTTCACATCATGTTTGCTAATCTCTATGTCCTAGCACCACCCATGCTCAATCCCATCATCTATGGAGTTAGGACCAAACAGATCCGGGACAGGGTCATCCACGCCTGCTGTGGTAAAGATTCCTGAGTCAAGGGTCACAAACGCTCCTTGATCTGAGGACAGAATAAAGGAGACTTCTCCAAGATCCCTCAAATATCACCTGGAACAATTGTCCCAGAGATTAGCAACTTCTCCAGAAGTAACAAAATGATTTTGAAGACACACAGGACAAGAAAGAGGTCAGAGGCCCAAGCGTTGTGATGCTTAAAAGATGAGATTCATGATAAAAAGACTTTACATGTGCATCATCACACAGATACATGCACAAATAAATTATTTAAAGATGGATTTACACAAAGCCAAGTGAAACAATGTTTAGTTGAATATCATGTATATTTGTTTGCTAAAAATGTCTAAGAATGGGAAAATGTGTCATCCTATGATATTAAATGAAAAAGAATAAAAAAGCAATTGCCAGTTCAAAAAAGTAATATGTGTTCAGAGAAAACATTTTGAGAAATTAACCTAAATGTTAATAATAGCTGATTGATTTGTGAGCTTTGTGAAACTCCCACTTACTTTTTGTACCTATTGAAATTTAAATAACTATCCTTGATTGAGGAAGCTTAATTTTAGTATAAGGGGAAAAATGATTAAATTATCAGCATAAGTCTATATAGGAAGTTAATCCAGTGTCAAATACAGTGAGTGCAGTGTAAAATCAGAGAATGAGGAACTTTGGAAGAAAGTAAGTTACCAAAAAAATCTTGAAATCTAGATGCAGAAATTATTCCCCAAATCACAAAATAATGCGATTGCTAACAATAAAAATGAGGCTAGCTGGTCTCTCTTTTCCAAAATAAGCTAATTTCTGGTAATTAGCTTATTAGAATGGGTTTCAGAATAGTGACTTTTTTACAAAAAGACTGTCTCCTGAAGATAACTATATTATATACTTAAACGTGATAGGGGCAAAATGAGGGGAAAATGTGATGAGAAGTCACTAGTATATTTAATAGTATTTTAAAACTTTCAACATCTTTTAAAATTAAATTTGTATATATTTTTAAACAAGCTCTGTAAAATCATTGCATTTGAATTGCTATCCCCATTTTCCACTCTTCTATCAAAACCAGTACTGAACATGATTCTAGAACTCAAGCCCTTATGTTACGAAGACCAACATCAAGTTAGGTACTTCGGAAGGAATCAGGATCATACTTATGTCTCCTAGCATATACATATAATAGAGTTTGAAAAAATTCCCCTAAAAGAATGCATATTCTGGAGAAACATGTCCACTTAGTTTACAAACTAACCCCAATATTAGCACACTGCAGAAAATAATAATAACTATAACTTATCATCACATAAATGAATACATGAATTGTATAAGAAATACCACTGTCATTGTCCCAGCATTTCTACTGCTGAGAAAAAGAAAGCATTTGCAGTTCTATCTTCATACCATTCCTCTGAAACATCATACCAAATATCTTAGCCTTATAACCCATTCCCTTAGCCTTATAGTCCTCTTTTATCATTCCAATGAAATTGAAATTTTGAAGGACAATGTCAAAAAATATAAATTTGCTATATAAATCATAATTTGGCCCTCATAACCTTCTTTTTTATTTAAAATATGTGCAAAATTTCAATTTTCTGTTTAATGATTTTATATATGTGTATCTAAATGAAATTAAATTCACCAAGCATTCTCCTAGAGAATGGTTATATAGTAAGGGACAAGATTAGGAATGATCTATGGAAATTGGTCTGGTGATATCTAAACAGATGGAAATCGAGTTACCCTACGACCCAGCAATCCCCCTATTGGGCATATACCCAGAAGAGGAAAGAAACAAACAACAGCAAGACATCTGTGCTCCAATGTTCATTGAGGCGCAGTTCATAATTGCAAGGGTTGGAAACCACCCAAATTTCCATTATCTGATGAGTGGATTAAAAAATGTGGTACATACATACAATGGAGTACTATGCATCCCTAAAAAGCAGTGATGGACATATGAAGCACATCGTTGCATGGGAAGAACTGGAGGAAATCATGCTAAGCGAAGTAAGACAAGCACAAAAAGGCAAGTACAACATGAGTCCGTCTGCTGATGTAAGCTCTAAAATTACAAAATGCTAAAGGGGCATAGTGAAAAAGCTACTGTATACAAACATTCCTGGGGTGAGGACCAGGTAATATGGCAGGGGCCAAACCAAATCCAGGATACATATGGTAGCCAACTGAAAAGGAGGTG